TGTTAATAAAAGAATTTGTCTCTTTTATATGGAGCTAGAAGAGTGTCAATAATCACAAATGCACACAGGACAATTCACATACATTTTAACTGACAAAAGACTGGTTTTCTGTGACCTTCACTACAGTTGTGAGTGATATTTGAGACTTCCCTGACTTGGTCCAACTCATTTGTAGCTTTTTTTTAAACAGGAAAAGTTCTGCAACCAATCAGAGGTCTTCCTTGTTTTGGCCAATCATAGAAACGCACCCCATGTGGGCAGGGTTTACTTATAAGTTTAATACAATAAACCCACTCAAACAGTAAAGTTATAGTGAACATGTAAACATCATTTATTGACTGCTTATTTATACTTTAAAGTAAACAATGCCTTGAATAAAAATTGTGAACCTGTATGATTTATTGACTTCAGCTCTGCTGCGACTAGATGTCTGAATTTATCACTGTCATTAATATTCATGTTAAAAAATAAGATTTTTGTTTCCAGGCAGGTTAGGGCTGTATTAACTGAACAAAACTGTTACACAACCCTCTAAACTGGGGCTGCACGATACTGGAAAAAAACCAGACGGGATAAGAGTACATGTCTTCTTCTGTCATGTGCAAACATGAATTACGTTTTACCACCTAACATGTTGCCTCTGTGTAGGGTTGGGCAATATTGGCAAAAAAATTAATCACGATTAATTGTGGTATTTAGCCGATAACGATTAATTTGACGATTAATCCCCTGGACTCCCTTATTTCGTAGTCACATGACCAGTTTAGTKGGAAAGATTTGCTATTTGTAAATAAAATTTCCAAATTGTGTGAAAATTACAGATTTCAGATTATACATCAGATTTTAAATTGTGTTGATAAATAAATTACAGAACTTTATTTTTAATGTTCGTCATATTTGAAGCAGAGAGGAGCAACAAGCAGACTGACTGGTGGCGTTAATCGTATTAATCATCAAGTTAATCGATTAATGTTTTCCTGATGATTAATTGCACACGATACGGTTATGCCCAACTCTACCTCTGTGTCAAGCTTAGTTTCTAAAAGAAAACGTATTTTAACTATTTCCCCCTCTTTTTTATCAACATCCTTTTCATAGTCCTCCACAGCTCAAGAACTCACAGACTTTTTTGAATATTGTAAATTAACCATATACAGTAAATATACACACTTCCTGGCCAAAAAGAAAGTCGTCACCAAAATAAAAGACACACTAATATTTTGTTGGACCACTTTAGCTTTGGTTATATTCTGATAAGATGCTGTAATGTCACAAGGTTTATCTCCATCCAGTGTTGTATTGTTTCACCAACATCTTGTGTTGATGATGGTCGAGTCTGACCTTCTTCCATTCTCATCCAATCACAGGATCATTGAGTTAATAATTTTATTTATTTATTTATTTTGTTCATGAGGAAGACGTCAGTGAGTGACTGTAGGATTAATCAACAGATTTTGTTACAGAGGGAATATTAAATACGATACAAAACAGCAACTGTGTAGTTAATTTAAAAATATTGAACTACAGGATCACTAAAGTTAAYTGCGTTTTGTTTGATACGAGGCATACATTCATCACACAATAAATATGTTGCTGTCCACTTCAGCCGAACTAGACCTGCTTCTGTTCTGGTTCTGCACTGCTGGGTCCATTTCTGAACACGTCCATGTGAGCAGGACCAGGCCGGCTTCGACCGGTCATTTATGAATGAACCCAGGGAGCTGAAAGTCGGACCGGTCTGTGCGGTGATGTTGCAGAACCGTCTTGTGAAAGAGGCTTCAGTCGCCGTGTTTCCATCCAGTTTTAATTCGAATTTTGAGCAAATTTTTAAAAATTTGCAAAAATGTAAAAAGGAACAAATGTGAATCAGATGTTTCCATCAACTGGCTTGAAGTGAATCAGTTACATCAGATGCATGTGTGTAGTAAACAGGAAGTAGTAAACAGGAAGTAGTAAACAGGAAGTAAAAGTCACATCTCAGGAAAATGGAGAGAAGTGATCAGGAATGTGTTGCTACTGTCAGAAACTTGTGATTATTCTGTCATCAACTAGTTCTGGTGATTTTACTGCTGTCTGGAGACGTAGAGGAAGTGATGCAATTCCTTTCACGTTACAGGATTAACTGAGAATACACCGACAGCGGGAGGAGGGTCGCTCTGGTACTGGGACCAGTTTCAGACAGACAGCAGGAACAGCTGATCAACATGTGAGGTAAATGTTCACAACGTCAGACCTGATTCTAAAAATGTGTTTCCAAAAATTCTACTGTGCACATGTGAAACCTGTACTGTGCACATGTACAGTATATTGTCCTGTACATGTGAAACTTGTCCTGTGCACATGTTTATTGTACTATGCACATGTGAAATGTCCTGTGCACATGTATATTGTACTGTGCACATGTGAAATGTCCTGTGCACATGTAAAATGTCCTGTGCACATGTAAAATGTCCTGTGCACATGTAAAATGTCCTGTGCACATGTATATTGTACTGTGCACATGTGAAACTTGTCCTGTGCACATGTGAAA